TATATATATATATTATACACGGAGGACCGAGCGCAAAGAATCTTTTTTCGTCATTTATATTTTAACTGGAGGTTACGCGACGATGCGACGATTAGAACAAAACAATCATAATATAATGTTCACATCAAAATAATAATAATAATAATTATTATTATTATTATTATTATCATTGTAATGATGACGACTAGAAAAGGATACGATTTTTAAAGCTTCGTTCCTGTACTGGTGTACGTTACACTCGTCGCGCCAATCCACTGTGCCCATCATGTGGTGAGGGACTCCATCCGTCTCTTCGTCGGTAGCCTTGTTGGTGGCTACATCAAGACCTTTGTAGACCTGCGGAAAAAAAACGAAACGACGCCAGTTATCATTTTGTATTTATAATTTATAGGTTTAAGCGATGGTTTAAAATAAACGTAATATATAATATCTGTACAATTCAAAACTGCCCAACCACGTGTTTTATATTATTGTAAATACATTGCACAATATTATTATGAATCAAAACAAAAATGCAAATCGGCTGATAATGTATGTAACCCTCCTCTATTACTTAGYAATCATAGTAAATATAATGCAGATTAAATACTATTGTTTTCTTTATCATGATAATTTTTTTTTAATCAGTTATCATCATAGTACTTACTACTTAGGTATATCAATTAATATACAAATAGTAAACAAAGCAATAATAACCCAAAAACATTGAAACCCATMTTATATGATAAATTTAATCGTTATACATTCCAAAACTTCGATCGAAAAACACGCAAATATACATACGTAACTTAAGCGTATATTATTATTATTTATTTTCATTTAAATTTTCATTTACATGAGAATTAATAAAATATTGATACTTATTATTAAATATACATTGAACATAAATTATTGTCTTCGTGAGCTTTTTGTGGAGACAAGGGTGGTTCTATATATAAATATGAGATATTGTAATACATTTGTATTATTAACAATTTTTTTTTTCAGCATCCTCTTCACTCGTATCGTGCGTATTGTTTATTAAGATTAGACATAACCTATTATAGCTAACGCAGTTGTTGTGCGCCATTTCCGACGTGTCATTATACTGCTGTATTTGAAATAATAATGGAGGAAACACTGAAATCCTGTGCAATAGATCTCACCCGGCCGRTCAACGTTGACCGGCTAAACCTGACATCGTGGATTTCCTTTGGAAGGTTAGGTTTACAGCATWTAKTATATACACTTACACATATAGRTACCCAACGTACAYGTAAGCGAGGTATATRGGGAAGGAGGTTTATTTCTATAACATATTTATTATATTATACAGTCGGGTTGTAGCAATGCAGCAATAAACACGACGCAGCGGCGGTAAAGATCGTCGGCTAGACCTGAGGGGTGGTGGTCTAACGCGACGCATAATGCCGTAGTATATTGATCCGTCTGCGTYGGATGAGTGTGCGTGTGTAAGCGGCGTGTTTGTCTACCTTTCGCGACGCGCGGTGGTGTGTCTGGCCGCCGGCGGCAGACTTGTTGCTCGCTACCTATACATAATATATATATATATATATATGTATACACGGTCGCTTACATTATATGTACATAATATAACAGAGTTATATAGTATATCACTACAGGACGCGAAATACATAAACCTCGTCTCTCCGCAGCCTATCTCTGTCGGCCCGTCTGTGGGGTAGGTTAGGTGACGGAAATTTTAAACAGCCCACGCGCCGCCGCCACCGCCGCCGTCCCGGGATGATCGTCTTTCTACCTGTTATTATTTGTTTATACTTTCAATCGATTCCTAAGCAATCTATTTTTTTCAACCCTACTGGTGCGTATTGTCAAACCTATATATATAGCTAGGCTTGTATAAACTATTCGAGTATAGCTATATAGTGTATAACAATTTTACAAAATTTAACGACAGCTAATGAGCTGCTAGTATTTCGACAGACATTACTTTTTTACATGTATTGAAACAAGTAAAATAACTGTTTAAACTACATATATAAGCCGCAGTGTATATTTTTATAATCCACRTCATACGGAATGCGGAAGAGAAATAAAATCACGAAACGCGCAAGCATTTTATATTTATATGCGTTTACGAATCGAAAAAAATGTTTATGTTCTCGCGTGTGGAATCATTAACGTCGAATAGAGTATCTCTAAGAAGTTGGTTAAACGTACAGAAGACATGCAACTTCATCGTATAGAGGTACCTACAGTGGAAAGGTAACTCTTTTATTTGAAGGATACTCCGACATCAAAGACCACGACAAATATCCGCGCGACGAACTATTTGTTGAGAAAAAAAAGTCATCCCCTCAGGCGAACACCGTGAAAAAATCAGGAAAACATGCAGTAGATGCGATTCTCCGTGCCGTGAAACCGACCTCTGCAGGGTTGATCACTGAGGGGGAAATATCAAATATATGACTACAAGTACCTATATTATATATATTTTGGTATATTTTAGTATATATTGTCTAACGCTCAATATCGCATKCCGCAACCTCTCCCACTCGACACTAGCGCAGAACTTGTATACTTAAAAACTCTCAGCCGTGCAGGTTTTCGGTTGAATAATTTTGTCGGACTTTATCGCGTGCGATGCACGCACAAGACAATATATATAATATCATACAATATGTTACAGTATACTTTAGAAGACGCAATGAGTAAGTCCGACCAGTGACGGGCGAATTTATCAATGATCGTATCGATTCTATCAAAAATACATACTTACATAGGTATWCATRTAATATAAGCACGCCCGGGGCGTGGTAGTTAGTAGACCGAACAGARAGACAGARAGATTATCTGCAGAGATTTCCGCTGCATATTATACATATTGAATTGTTTGGAGCATTTCCGTTTCGTATATAAATATGTATAGTATAAATTCTTATAACACGGCGAGATTTCATAAAATATTCGGTCTGCAAACTGGAAAATTGTATTTCTATACATCGAACGGCTGTATGATGATAATATAATATACATAATATATTAATATGATGCGTTTGAATATACCTAATATAAAATATAACCAAACAGCATCATACGCGCATATATACTACAATTATATATTTATTTGGGTATGATAAAATATTTCACAGAATAACAAAGTTAAATTTCATCGCATAAGGTACGATATATATGTACATGAACGAGAAGTACAATTTTCTTGCCCACTTCCACTCAAAAACTCGATAAATATTTTACTTATTTCGCGAAATAGTTTCCCCGTTTATGTGCGAACCGTTTGAATTGGTATTCAGTATATAATATTCAAAACAGATAATATCATATTATAGACAAACAGTGGCGGCTCGTGCAGGGTTTTTAATGAAGTAGTGCACATCCAAAAAAATATATAACCAATATTATAGATATATAATATATATATATTATAAGTTGTATTAAATAATTGTTTACAGATTTTAGTTATTTACCAATTACCTTTAATTTTGTTTAACACGATTGTTATTTTGAATTTCTGATGATGGTCGAGAAACATTATCAACTGATAATYGGAATAATATAATAAACGAATGAAAGTAAAAATAAAATATTATACCTAAATTATAATGCAATAAGTGGCGTCGAAATTAATTCACTAAAAACAAATTATTCGGATATGTGCACAAAACGCATGTGCACATCAATTCCATTATAACCGCGTTTCGACTTTTTACACTGTACAAATGTGCACAGCGATTGTGTGCACTACTGCATCACTATAATAAACACCGAAACCGTTCCGTCGCGGGCAACCGCCCGGCTGTTTGGCCTTCGAAAAACCCAATCCAAATATTATATTATTTTTATAATTTTCTGAATTTTATTTTAATATTTTGAAAAATAATTTTAATAACAATGTACAGCTACTTGGTTGTATTATTATGATTTATGCTTTCTTTTTTTCTTGAGTCTGGGTAGGTAATGCACGTGCACTTGTWCACATATACACGAGCCGCCACTGTAGACAAACGTAGTTGGCGATATGGTCTGACGCAGAAGAATTAATAAAGCATAATATGAAGAAACACGTTTGTACTATAYAAATAACGATCAATATTAAAAACTATTAAAGTCGATTCGAAGATCGAAAAAGCGTTTTTAAATTTATATTTCCATTCACATCGTTAATTGTATTATTCAATAATATACGATAATAAAAAAAACATGTATATACTATATGTATAGGTTAGGTATAGATATGTAATTAAATATTTTTAATGGATTCGGACAACGGTGTTCATTATATTATTGATTATACTAGTCGATTGTGAAATATAAAATAGATATATCGAACAAAATACATTATATTATATATWATATTATGTACAGTTATTAATAATGCGTATTAAAAAAAAGATCAATAAAGACAATAAAAATTCAACTACTTTATTTTAACTTATAAATATATGCTGATATCAATTACCGTTTTTCAATTATTCAACAGTCCCCGGAATTTTTTACCGTATTCAACGGAAAAAGTTTTAGGGTTATATAGGACATTGAATGAGACATATTTTATGTAACGACAAAATAAATACAATTAACCAGTGTGTATTTATTTTTCAATATTTTTTTTTTTTTTGTAGACCCGGAAAAAAATATAATTCTCTATAACACGGCCACGCGTAAATGCACGTTGTAGAAAATAATATTAATATATAATATATGTAACATATAAAATAGGGTTTATAATAAGCGTTTATGGGTTTGCTGCCATGCGGAATAATATTGTTTATATCAGTCTCGGAGCGTTCTAGTTTATAAATTCTCCGAGTGGATCATATCTGTGATCTAAACGATTTGAACCCGRCCAATWAGATTGCCTGCCGCCGAGAGAGGAATTTATGTGGATGATGGTTTTACGTCAATATTTTTAAATACATATATACAGTACACACCTATGTATATAATATATCGTGGTTACTAAGTTGAATTTAAAATTAATAGTCACGCATATATGTATATACCTCGACATATAACGCAGCTACACCTATACAATAATATATTAATATATAAATATTAAACATAACATATATATTATTATTTTCGGTGCATGTGTAAATATATATATATATATATATTATCATCGCACACATAAAATATTATATAAAACACGAGTTAAATACTAGTCACACTGCAACGGTCGTGTCCTGGCGAAAACGTCAATACATAACAATAAAAGTCCGACACATATTATTCTTCGTCGAGAAACCACTGTTACTTTATTATTATTATAATTATTATAGGATATTAAATAGGTACCAGAACCAKAAGACGCAGTAACAAAAACAGATGAAAAYCTTATTGCCTATCATTGC